TCCCACATAGCAATCTGCAGTTTTGAATCCCTATCCTTGGCAGCTTGAGAAACATACTAGACACTTGTACATATGTTTCCATAATCCTGACAGGAAGGAGAAATGGAGGAAAAGGAATTGTGGAATGAGTTGGCCCCATTGAGTGATGCTGTCTCTGTCTCTTGTGGATATTACCTTGCCCTGTAGCAATTTAAAAAAAAAAAGAACATTTACTAGCTTTGTGATCTTGTAGAACTTATTTAACTTTGTTACACACACACACACACACACACACACACACACACACACACGTGTCCATATTGATACATATATATCCACACACACATATATTTTCTTTATTTTTTTCTGAGAACTTTTGCTATAGGGTAAATGTGCTCACTGGAGAGACAGACAGAAAGTAAGAAATCACCCTCCCAGGAGGGAATGACCACACTGAATCGCTTCTCCATCCTCTCGGGATCTTGGTCTTGCATGCAGATGCACCAAGCGTGAGTTTCAAGCCTCTGGGTCCAAGAGTCGAACAGTGGTCAGCCTTATGGGAGTCCAGTGCCTTAACCACTATGCCGCCTTCTGGCCCCCATAAGAAAAATATTGATGATGCTATTTTACCTCTTATAGTTGTTAAAAGCATTGAATCATAATTGATATTTATATATACTTCCTATAATCCCCAGGACAACCACTAAGAATATCAACAAAACATATAGTAAAAGAAGTTACAAGGGATTTAAAGTGCTATACTAGAAAATACCTGTTTAATGCAAAATAAGACAGTAATGGAAAAAAAGAGGAAGAGGAGAAAAGCCATATAAAGAACAAATAGCAAAATGGCAGAAGTTAGCCCTTTTTATCAGTACATTAATCACATCAAATGTAATGTATTACATTTTCTAGTTACAAGGCAGAGATTTGGGGGGCAGCAGGTGGCGTGTGCTGGACACTCCCACATGGAGGACCATGGTTCAAGTCCCGGACCAGGTGGCTTGCTTTCTCACTTTCTCTCTCTCTCTCTCTCTCTGTGTGTGTGTGTTTCTGTCTGTTCAAATTAAAATAAGTGAATGAATAATAAAAATTAAATAATTCTTTTTAAGAAAAAAGGGGGGGGGCAGAGATTTGCAGAATGAATTAGGGGAAAAAAAAGCCATGGTCCAAGTATGTGTCGTCCCCAAGAGACTCACATCAGATTCAGATAGATACAGATTGAAAATGAAAGAATGGATTTAAAAAGGTATAACATGTGAACAGTAACTAAGGAGACTGGGACAGCTATATGAAACTAGTATTAAACGAAACAGACTTCGAATGAAAGTTTTTCCCAGAGACAAAGGGGGGGAACATTACATGAATAATATTAAAAGGGTCAGTTCATCAGGGTATATGGTACCTGATAAATAAATGCCCTTGCTATTATTCTTGCCAGCCCATCAACTAACACCGGGAATTTACATGCTTCTTGTACTTGGTAATCCCACGTGGCTTCCACTCCCTTCATGTTGCAGAGGCCTTTTCTGAATCCTAGCTGACAACCTCTTTTCACCTGCTGTTGAATTTCTCCCTGCCACATAGGTACGAAGATGCCCTGGTCCTCTTGCTCACAGAGGTGTTGAATCGAATCCAGTTCAGATACAACCAGGCCCAACTGGAAGAGTTAGATGATGAGACTCTGGATGACGATGTAAGCGGCACCCCCTACTTGACTTTTAATCATTGTCATGTCCTGATACGAGTCAGAATGGAGAATTGGAACTTGTAACCCCTTTGCTTTGGAGACTGCTCTTAAACCAGTCGTTGTATAGTTTGACTTGTACATTTGAAATTCTTTTCTCTCTTACTGGTCTTTTTAGCCTCATTAACTGTAAAAAAAAGGTTTTGTAGACCTTTTTTACCCATGTGGACTAGAGATGATGTAAGTCAAGAAATCATACGTACAGTGAAAAGTGGGTATCCTTCCTTGTTCTCCTGCCTTGTGCTCCCACCTCTGTTTTCCTACCCTGGGTAGCAAATAACAGCTACCTGGAAACTGGTGGAAACAGAGATACTTAAATGATAGGGCTAGAATGAAAGGAAGTCCGTTTTGAGTATATTTTTATAAACTGATAATTCTTAAAATGAGTCCTGAATTTATTGATGCTAGTGTGTCCAGCATTGATAAAGGAAAATATCTTTATGGACACAGTGTTCCTTTTTCTTAACCACCAGACATTTAACAATTTTCAAATAGCTGCTATTGTTCTCAAAGTAAGAATGACTGTGGTGTGGTCAAGCCTTGAGACCAGCCATGTTTGGGTTAGAAAGGGCCCTGTATTTGGAACAAGGAGGCCTGGATCTTTGGATCTCTTTGAGCCTTGGGCATGGAGAAGATTTGGGTATTGGATTTCTCTGTTCCTTAATTTTTTCATCTCCCCAGAGGGGAATGATACATTTTACACTGTGTTGACAGTTACATGAGGGCAAGACATCTGGTTGCAGACCTGGTTACATGGAAGGTGCTGGGTAGACTTTAGTTTCACTTCTTATTAACTATGTGATCTAGGCTGGGGCTTTCCAAACTCTAGTATGGATTAAAGTCAGGGGAACAGTTTGTTAAAACATGTTGTGACTCTGAAGGGCTGGGATAGGCCACAGAATTTGCATTTTTTACAAGCTCCCAGTGGTTGCTGCCTGTGGACCATGCTTTGAGTGCCACTGATTTCATCAGTTGTATGTATAGGAACATAATAATGAACTGGCTCATAGGATGATGAGTGGCCTGTTCCTGCAGGTGAGGTGATGAGGGGAGGGGCTCAAGCATTTCACAAGTAGCTCTTTCATCTCTATATTCCTGAAATCCTTAGGGGGAAAATAGATTCTTCTGTGTGGATCATTTGCTTTCTGAAGAAATAATAGCTTCTTATGAAATTAATTTTTTAAAAAAGTATTCTAACCTGACCTTTTTAAAGTATCAACTAACTTCATTCCATCATTTCCCATTTCTTTGACATTTATCTGAGAGTGGACTTGAGGCAAAGGAGAGACAGGCAGAGAAGATGACAGGATTCTGTCCCTTTGGAAGAGCTGATTCCTTTGTGTTTTTTCCCACAGCAGCAGACAGAGTGGCAGCGGTACTTACGTCAGAGCTTGGAGGTAGTGGCCAAAGTGATGGAGCTCCTTCCCACACATGCCTTCTCAACACTGGTAACGCACCACTTGAAATAGGGTGGGGTGACTAGTTACTTTTCTGCACAGACAGCATGCCTCTTTTTACTTACCTTTCTGTCTCTCTGTAGGCATATATACATACTTAAATTTTTTTTTTTTTACAGAGAATAATTACCATAACTAACCCTCAGAATTAACAAGTGTTAACATTTTCACAAATTTTCTCTTAATTTGTTACACAGTGTGTGTCATGAGAGAGAGAGAGAGAGAGAGAGAGAGAGGGAGGGAGGGAGGGAGGGAGGGAGAAGGAAAGTGAGACAGCACCCTCCCATGGAGAATGGTCATGCTGTAATCCCTTCTCTATTTCTCCTTCTTTCATGATTTTAGGCATGCATGCATGTATATCTAGTGTGTTTTCTAATCTGTCAGGTTCAGGGCTTGAACAGTCCTGTGGGATCTAGCCGTCTGAATCACCACACCACTGCCACCAGCTGGCCCTCACAAAATATTTTAACTCAACTTTTGGAAGCTCTATCTAGTCTTAGATATAATAAGAATTTTAATAATGCCTCAGTGCTTTCAACAGTAGCTCAGAAACAGCCAGGTCAAGCAGAGAAGATGTTGCTTATAAAAGTTGTATTGCTAAGAGGCTAGCCTTTGTAGAGCCCATGCTTGGCTAACTGCTAGCTAGCTCCCTCTGCCTTATTTATGTGCTGAAATCTTTAATCATAAGGACTTGATTTCATCCACTAAGTAGGGCTTCTTATTTGAAGAGATTTCATTCAGTTCATCTCTTCTTCAAAGGCAAATTAATTTGCAGGGGTCAGCTTTTACATTGTATAATCCACGTGTATCTTGTTCTCTCAAGGAAAGTGCCATTGTATTTTACCATCTGCCTTGGTTAGAGGCCTGTTAGATTTAAGTCTCGGTTTTGTCTTCATGGTGAGTGTTTTAACTTTCAAAAGATCCCTCTGTCATTACTAATTCCTATCTGCTTCATGAGCAGGGGAGACAGACCAAGTGATTTGGCCTGCCTTTTCACTCTGCAGTGTACTTTAATAAGGCGTATGTGATCCTTCTCTCAAGGGAAAGGTTCCCTTGCATTTGAAGGTAGAGACAGCCCCTTCTCAGCTCTAGAGGGTGCAGATAGATCATTTGGGGGCATAGGCCCCCTGTAAGAAACATTATATAGTCATATCCCAGCATCCTTTGCTTTGCTTAAAATAAAAAATTCAACTGATAATACCGTTTTCTTTCTTAAATTCTTTATATTAGTTGGTGGTTTGAATTTTAGAAATTATTAAAGATAGGTACTAGGGAGCCACCTTTTCTTAGCTGCTTATGTAAAAGTTCCTAGAGAAAAGTTTTTGATCTTGCTCTTTTCCCCATAGGTTCTTGTGGTTTTTGTTGTTGTTTTAGGTTTTTTGTTTTTTTTTTGTAGGGTGTACATGTTCCCTAGAGAGAGAGACATAGACAGAGAGAGAGAAAGTGAGAAATCACCCTTGAAAGGGGATAGCCACACCACAATCCCTTCTCTATTCTCCTCTATGGATCTTGGACATGCATGCATATATACCCAACATGATTTCCAAGCTGCTGGATCCGAGACTTGAACTGCAGTCAGCCATGTGGGATCCAGAGTCTTAACCTCCACACCATTTGCTGGCCCACTTACTGTAATGTTTTAATGTGAAAATGCTGTTAAAGCTTACATTTATGATTTTTAAAAAATCCTTAACAAAATCTTTCTTTATTTTCAGTTTCCAGTTCTTCAGGACAATTTAGAAGTTTATTTGGGATTACAGCAATTTATAGTTACTTCAGGGTCAGGTAAACTGGCTTTATTTCCTAACTTATGTTAAAAAAAAATTGGACTGCTATTTAATTACTATCATCTTTGTTATCATAATGTAATTTCTGCACTGTAGCCTCCCCTCTCTCTCCATCTCTCCCCAACTCTGAACAGGGAAAATTAAAACAAACAAACAGAAAAAGAAAAGCCTCTCTCTCTTGAGGGAGGTAAAAATGAGGTTACGAAACTGTATTTCAAAAGATTATTTGGAAAAGAAACTAATTTTGAGCAAAGATAGAGGAATTACTAAAATCCTACAATATTTTCTTATGTCCTTTAAACCAAGTATGCTAGGAAGAAAATGGCCTTGGACTTTTCCTGTGATGTGCTGTTTCTTCTCTGGCTTTTAGAATAAGAGGGACAGACACAAAGTGTCACTCCAGAGCAGGCACAGTTAGCAGGAGGTGACATACTGATAGCGATCGCTCATTCTCCTTTTGCCAGTGGCTGGAGGGAGACTCTTACTGGAGTTAGTTGGAAAGGCAAGTGGCGCCTTTTGTAGGCTTCCCCTGCTTGGGGCTTAGGATAAGTAGTTTTCGTTGCTCTGTTGATGATGGTGATTGTGTGGTGACCTGTTTTTGTGGAGTGCTCATTACATGTCAGGCACTGTGTTATTTATGTACGTTACTTAATTCTCTCAACTGTCCTGTGAAGGAAGTTCTGTTACTAAGTATCTCTGTTTTACAGATATTAGGGTTCAGGGTTCAAAAAGTTAATTTACTCAAGGGCACATAGTTTGTAAGTGCTAGTCACAAGAGAGGGTGTAAGGGGGAATGATAAAAATTTAGCCTATCTAAGATCTAGTGTTCTTTTTTGCCAACTGTGACACCAGCAACTTAAAAGCACCCACGTCCTCCCTGCCCTGTTACCTCCTATGCACCATTTCACCCTGCTCTTCCCCACAGTGTTTTCCTACAGGAGTTATCTTGGGCTGGTGTGCAACCCCTCTGTTGGTTAACTGCTGTTTCGTCCTGGCACAGCGCTGCCCAGGGCTCAGCTCATCTCCCGGACAAGCTTGTTTTTCATGGCAGAACTTCCGTGGGAGGCTCTTTTTGAGGCTGCCCTTCGTAGTGGCCCATGACGGCTTGTTTCCATGACTATATTGGCTTCTAAATAATCCAGTGGGCCCCAGGAGGTTGATGGGACTTGGCATGCCCCAAGTACGGGCCCTGGTTTTTGGAAGAGGATAAGAACAGCTACACTTTTCAAAACAAACATGCCTGTTAAAAAAAAAATGCCATCAGCACTAAAGAAAAGCATTTGACTGTGATGTTTCTAGAGTCCATTCTTGAGACTAACCATGCCCAGGTGGTTTCTTCCTCAGGGCCAGTTTCCAATTAGAAGGCATTTTTCTTTTTTTTTTTTTTTTAATACTTTAACTTTATTTATTATTATTATTTCTCAGTTTGATGTGTGTGTGTGTGTGTGTGTGCGTGCGAGAGAGAGAGAGAGAAAGCAAGGCGCCAGGTCCAGGACTTGAACTGCAGTCGGCCATGTGAGAGTCTAGTGTCTTTAACCGCCATACCAGCTGCTGGCCCCAGAAGGCATTATTTTTGATCTGCTATATATTTTTTTTTTTTTAAATAAAAAAAAGAGAGAGAGACAGGGAGTCAGCACCACAAACGTGTATGCTTTCTTCCAAAAATGACCCCCTAAGTTTCCTATCCAGTATTGTAGTTGACTTTTTTAACATTACATTGAGCCTGCCTTGAGGTGCAAAATCTAAAGTGAGACTTAAATCTTTTTTGTGAGATGTACCTGATACCCAAGAGCCTTTCATCTTAGAAGGATAATCTGATTTATTTTCCCCTAAATGAAATATCTTTACCTGCCCTCATTGAAGCCTACTTACTGGCAGTTACACAGTGTGCTTGACTCTTCCAGGGATGTATAAACCTCAGCCTCAGCACTGACCCTTGGTGCGTTCGTTAATGGTAGAACCTCTCAGGCCAGAGAAATACTCTTTTCCTGTTTTAAAAATGGGCTTTTTTATCCATGATAAAGTATTGGCCCATCCCTTAATTCCTTAAAAGCCAAGTTCCCAGTGCAAAGGCTATTAAAAAATTGAAACCAAGTACATTTTGTTCTCTGGTTCCCATGGCCGTTTACCCCTCAAATAACTTCCATTCTGTATTAGTCAGCCTGTTGCCTCTCAGAAGAAATCGTAGTATCTTTTCCCATGATAGGTTATGGCCCTCGCCTTTTGTTTGCATTTATCTTCTAGTCTAGCCTTTGATTCTTGGGTCTCCTCTGGAACTGTGTAAAAGGGAATTGGACACGATCCTTGCCCTCTGCTTGTGCTGTGCTTGTTGATGACAATAGGGTGTACATTTGGCCAGCAGTGAAACCTACAGGTGTTACTTCTCGCCCCCACTTTGATTTTGTTATAGCATTCAAATTCAGAATCACTTTTTTTTTTGGAGAGGTTTTCGCTATAAGGCGCGTGTGCTTGCTAGACAGACAGAGAGAGACATAGAGACAGAAAGTGAGAATTCACCCCCCAGGGGGGATGGTCACGCCGCAATCCCTTCTCCATTCTCCTCTCAGGATCTTGGGCACGCATGCACAAGCGTCCGGTGTGAGTTCTAAGCCACCGGGTCCAGGATGTGAACCGTAGTCGACTACGTGGGAGTCCAGTGACATAGCCATTACGCTAACTGCTGGTTGCCGTGAATCACTTTTAATTTATTTTTAAGTTTACTTAAACTTAAAAAGAGAGAGGGAGAAAGAGACAGGGAGTCAGCACCACAACAGGGTCTCAATGTCATGATTCCCTGTCAGCCCCAGCCAGCCTAGGATCCTGGGCACATAGGTGCCAGGTGTACTCAGGGAGGTCCCTGAATGTCAGCTGGAACCTTCCCCTGTGGGTCAATCTCACAGGGCATCCTGTTTTACTGTAGTACCACCTTTAGACTCCCCACATGTGTCGTCTTCTTCCCTCTCCTACTGCCGGTCATCCTATTCCATTCCCTCAGTACAAAGGCAAAACCTACATGGTTGCTGGGGCATATAGTTGCCATGAATCTCTCTTGCTTCTGGTGGGTGATCCTTTGCTCTCATTGCCTGTCTTTCCTACTACTGATGGCTTAGAACATCTTCTCCTTGGCAGTCATTCCCTTATACAGCACTGCGTCCTCATATGGCCCTAAAGTAGTATCCATTTTATATTTGGCTTTTGCCACTCCTCATTGAGGCAATATTTCTGCTCTAAGTAACTCCTTTAACTCTCTGGTCTACCATGCAAGCTTTCCTGCTTAAGAGATTGTTTTCTCTACAATATATGAGAGTTTAAGACTTACAGTTTTTGTTCTACTTGGATACATTTATGATTTGTTTGTTCTTTCAATATGAAATACCTCAAATACTAATTTTCACACCTCCACTCCCTTATCCCCCAAAACTGGAAGACTGAATTAGGCATAAGTTATTGCAGTGATTTGCCAAATGAGCTATTCTTTGGGTGTGGCTTTGAGCACATCTGGCAGCTTCAAGGTGACTTGGTTTGTGGAGGATAGAATGTCTAGCGTTACCATGATAACTTTATCTGTCCAACCTTGTGTAGCAATGTAACCTCAAGGTTCTACTTTGCAGATGTTCTGTGCTCTTTTGGGGGCAATCTAAGCCTTAGCCACGTAGAAGAAAAGTGGGTGGAGCTAAACAGCTAGTCATAGTGGGACTCTGTTCCCCACCCCCTTAAATTCAGTTGATACCTTGTATGATTCTGTAGTGGTGGTAGATACTCGGTTTCTAGGTTGGAGGGGGTCAGTGGAGAATTCTAGTTGAGGTACTCATTGCCTATGTGTTTGCCTTATGGACAGAGTAGGAAAGAACTGGCTGCAGTTTTGATGAACATGATCCTTACGTGGTTCATATGTATTAGGTTGAACTGTATAGAACTGTAATTTTGTTAGGTTAGAAGTGGTCAAGTAGTAGCAGTTTCATATGGTTCAAACTAATGGTTTAAAACACATACACAACTCTTCCAAACTGTTTTCTGTTCTGAAGACCACATTTTGCTTGACAAATTAGGGCAAGTGTAGAGGGAAGAATCAGGAGTCTTAGAAGGAAGGTATTCTAGGATGTTCTTTTGGTAGTAACAGAATTACCTGAGTCTGGGCAATTGATAAAAACAGAGGTTTATTCAGCTCAGAGTTTAGAGGTTCATGGCCCAGGGGCTGTACTTGGTGAGGGTCTTCTTGCTGCTGAGTAATAGGGTAGAGGACCTCAAGTGTCATAAGTGAAAACCTGAGCAGAGTTTGTCTGTGTTGTGTGTCATTTCTTCTCCTATCAGGACTCATCCCAGAGGCCCCAACTTAATGCCCAAATCACTTTCTAAAGGTCTTACCTTTCACCACTGTAATTTAATCTCTACCCTCTTAACACCATTACCGTGACCCACCAGATTTTACCACCTGAACTTGAGGGGAGATACAGTCAAGCTATAGCAAGGGGCAATAGAGGAAGTGGAAGGCACCCAGGACTGTACTTAAGCTAAGAGATTTGGAAGGGTGTCATCCCTGTCTTCACATTTCCCTGTGACTGTTGGCAGGCTTTGGCTTGTTTTGTGTTCTACCCTCGAAGAGTAGGACCAGAGTTAATAAGGAGGAATACAGGGAGACATAATTTCCTTGTGTTGTTGTCCAAAGATGGAAGGGCTCCCTCAAGGGCATTGAGCTTGCTGGCATTCAGTTGAGGTGTCCAGGAGGAGGCTGTAGGGCAAATGCTGGGGCAGAGGAGAAGGGGGAAAGGCTTGGTCAGAGTGCTTGCTATTTTTACTTTTAATTTTAGATTTCTTTTTCTTTATTCAAGGTAGAGTATGTACGTGTGATGAAGGAGTACTTTTAAGCTACATGGTAAAATTGGCTATTGAAGACCAAGTGGATGGTGCCTTGGTTTTTAAAAGAGAAACATTCTGTCTTTCTCTTACATGCTTAAAATATTGAAAAGCTAGTTCTTAGAGTCTCTGAAGATACTCAGTTCAAGGAATTAAGTATAATGAATAAGCTGAAAACTAGTGATAAGGGTAGAACTTGGTGGGAGAGAAAGGGGCTATGCATGCTGACTTGATAAGCCTTCCACGTGCTCTTTGAAAGAGATACTGGCCTCACCTCTTCTGGGGCCTGTGCTGTTCCTGGGTGTATATTTCACAAGAGTTTATTTTCTACAGAGCCCTAAGGTTTGGTTAGTGTGCAAAGGAGCAGCAGGTTTTAGAAGTTGGTCCTGGAAGTCACTTGCCTAGCTGTAACTCTGAAAATCCCATTGTCGTTCAGAATGTGTGGAATTATGATACTTTGGTAAACTGGAAGGTTAGACTCATCTCATTCTGGGGCCCAAGAAGGGTAGTGTTGCCTCCCTCATGACCACACATGAACAGAAGTACCTCTGGGTTCTGTTCGTTCTGTGGGCTCATGTGGCTTGTGTGAGGTGGCCATCCTCTACAAGAGCCGCCCAGCTCACTCTCCTTAGCTACCCACCCAGCAGCCTCTGCAGGGCTGCCTGCAAGCTGAGAATCCTGTTTTTTGCACCAAGGCATTGCTGTCATGTGGAGGGAAGAGGAGGGAACAGGTGGGTTGGGGCAGGTCAAAACTGACCTTTGTCACTGGCTCTCTCTTTGTAAGGTCTTTCCTTGAGTTGCTCCCTTTTTTGGCTCTGTTTCTTGAGATAGGACAACTACTGTGACAATACATTGGCCAAAATGTGTCTCCCTTTCTGACTCCTGTCTTCCTCTGGGAGCTGTCACAGCACTATTACTAGGCTCACTTGGAGGATGGTACAGAATCTGAGACACTACACCTACCACTTCACTCACTACTTTGTTCGTGATGTTCATCCCTGCTGGCTTCCTGTCCAGCAAGCTGTTTATCCATGGTCACCTTAAAATAGTAACAGTGAGTATCGCCAAGGGCAGCCTGAGGAGCTCAAACTCCCTGAGAATCCCTACCAGCTCTGGTTTGCTCTCTCTTCTGTCATGTCTTAGGCCTTCGGGGACTTAAGGGCACTTGCTCTGTGCTGGGTGCTGGGTGCTGAACTGGATGCTGGACATAGTCCTGCACCACGAGGGATTTCGTAGTCTGCAAGGGGAGAGACTTGTACCTCATTAGTTGATTTCCTTATGAGGTGCTGTGAGGACTGCAAGAGGGGGAGGGGAAGGAAGGGCTCATAGAAGAGATGATGCCCATATGAGTATGGGGGACACTAAGAACTTTGCCAGGCTTGGGAGGGCAGAAGATGAAATGATGAGCAGTGAAGAGAGAGAAAACAGTTTATTCCGTGGTATAGAGGCATGTGGCACTGGGGGTTACCAGTGAGCCTGGGTGACACAGTGGAATAGTAGAAGCAAATGGGGCACGAGAGACCTAAAAATTGATGCTGGGGTGTCTAGGCTCTTCCCACTTAGCAGGGGTGAGCCTCAGAAGGGTTCGATACCTTCTGTGTTCTGGGAAGCTGCTTGTGAAGCATTGTCTGAAGAAGGCTGTTGGTGGCCTGTTTGGAGACTTCTGTACCCCAACAGAAGAGTAAAGACTTGAAGTGGCAGAGGGAAGGGGGCAGGTTCGAAAAGTGTTTAAGGAGTGGTGCAGTTGTGAACATGCTAAGGGCCATGATCTTAAGGGAGTCCACCCTCATCCCCACTGTGTGAATGAGAAAGACTTTATCAGACTTGGAGGTCCTTCTGGCCTGAAAATTCTTCCTCCTTTTATGGGCCAAAAGGGGTTTTTGCCTTTCATCTTTTTTTTTTTCCCAGTCTTCATATAATTTTATTTTCTCCCTTCAACCATGATAATATGATATCCAACTTTTGTCTTAACTGGTAAGTCTGTAAACATAGGTTTGTTCATCCCACTGACTGACAAGGCAAATGCCACTTCTTGAAATGGTCCCACCATGGATCTTCTGGTCATCCAACCCAAGCTGCCCCCTTGCCTTGGCTTTATCTTCACTATATTGTGTGGCCACTTCATTGAACTCATTCCAGACTTTAACTTTTCCATGGCTTCCATAATTTTGCTGTGTTTTTCACCTAGAATGTGTCTGACCTTTACTGCATTGCCACCACCTTTGGGACCCTGAACCTTCTTGTCAGCACTATCACTCCCAGGCGCTGCTCCCGCTTTACCCCCTTTTCCAGAACCACTTTTTTCTTGGGCAGCATCTTCAAGACTTGCTGATAAACAGTCAACTGCTTTGGTGTCGTCAGTAAGAGTCCCCTCCTCATCTTAATACCCTCTTTGCTCAGCTTGAAAAACTTAAGTTAAAAAGTAAGAAAGTTTCAAGTCTTAAAAAGACTAGCTCTTTGTCATTCATAATGCAGTGGATACTTGACCAGTACAGGGGTTAAAGGAACTGAGACCCCCTGTGTAGGTGAAAATCTGCCTGTAACTTGGACTCCCCTAAACCTTAACTACTAATGGCCTACTGTTGACCAGAAGCTTTGCCGATAACATAATGAGTTAACACATACTTTGTACGTTATATGTATTTTGTATAAAGTAAGTAGAGAAAAGAAAATATGGAGCTCATGGGAAGAAAAAACAGTTCTAGTATGTGCTATACTGTATTTTCCAATATACTAGTTGGAAAAAAGTTGGTGTTTATTCCTATGTTGTTCAGGAGTCAACTCAAATGACAAACATTGAGTATAATGCTCTTATTTATGGAGTTTTTTATGCATTCTAACTTAGCCACCCTTACGGTAGTGAATTAAATAGTACTTTCCCCATTTTAAAGATGAGGAAATAGAGACTTTGGAGGATTCAGTGAGGCACAGAGCCAGCAAGTGGCAGGAAGTCTGTCTTCTAAATCTGTATCTTATGCCCTTTATTACAAACTTTGCCACCCAAAAGTCCTGTGGGGTGAATACTGAATATCCTGGTTCTTTTAGCTGGGGTCAGTCCTACCCATCAGCCCCAGAGATTTCATTTTGAGACAGGGCCATGTGTAAAAGGCAGCAGGCTTGGGGTCGCACAGACTCAGCTTAGAGCACTTGCTCTGCCCCAGAAATAGGACCCATGCTGGGCAGCTTACTGGGCTCCTTGGGTATGCTTCCTTTATGTAGAAGTACCTTACAGGATTGGGGAGGAACCAGATCAGGTGCACGGTCCCTGTTAGAGCACCCCAGTCTGGCCGCCCCTCCCTCTGGCCCCTTTAGCTCATGTGGTATATATATCTGTAGGTTGGGCTGTGCCCACTTCCCCTGCTCACTACTGAGGAGCAGCCTGTGTGTTGGCTCAAGAGTTGGTTTTGCTGTGTAGCTTGTCTAGACGAGCTTTTATCTATGTAGTAACTAAAGCATGTTCTTCCCGAGAAAAACTAAGGTGTTGTGTTCCAGGACACAGGTTGAACATCACAGCGGAGAACGACTGCCGACGGTTGCACTGTTCCCTGAGAGACTTGAGCTCCCTGCTGCAGGCCGTGGGCCGGTTAGCTGAGTACTTTATCGGGGATGTGTTTGCTGTGCGGTTCAGTGATGCCCTCACGGTCGTGGAGAGGTAGGCCGGCAGTTACATTCTGGAGCCATTCTTTCTTCAGAGCTCAGTTTTGCCTTCTTGCGTGAGGGAAGAGCAGTGTATTGCCAAATGGCTTCTGCTCTGGTGCCAGGTATCTACTGGCTAAGCAGCATATATGTACCTGGGCTCTGCCATCCAAGCTGTTGGGAGCAAGTCATTTAAGTTCTCTGAACTTAAGGTCCTTCATCTGTAAAACAGAGTGGAAGTAGTTTATTGTAGGTTTTTTGTGAGAATTAAATGAGGGCAGTGCCTCACACGAAAGAAAAGTCAATAAATATAAACAATTTTTTTATTGAAGATCTTATTTACACATGCAGAAATTCAGAAAACCTGGTGAGGTCAGTCTTCATAAGATTAAAAAAAACATTAAGAAAACCCTACTGATAAGGGGGTACCTCCACTTTAAGTAGATAGTCAAGTGCCATAGGTGGGGCTTCCTGTGGCCTTTCCAGTCCCTTAGGGGGGGTCCTAAGGACTGAAAGCTGGGCAGAGCTCCATGCCTGGCCCAAGAGGTGATTCCTAAACTCTCACTACCAGCCTTATTTTATTCTTTTTGCCCTTGGATTCCACATAAAATTCTCAACTGTGTTTGTTTAGGAACATTTTGTTCTGTCTAGTCTCTATCTCTCTTTCTCTCTTACTCTCTCTGTCTTAGATACTCAGATGTAAGTGATAGGAGATTTAGAGCATGTCAAGATAATTAGTCGATTAGATCAAATTGGAGAGGCATGGATCCAGCCTGGAGCCAAGACAACTCATGCTTTTCATTGGCCTTGTAGCAACATCGCTGGTAACACACAGAAAGGAAACTGAGCCCCAGAAGTTACATCCTTGCCAGATTTTTCTTTAACTGTAGCTTAAAAGCAGAGGTAACTAAGAATTCTAAATCCCTTAAAAAGCCAGATTATTGTTACTAATAAAAGCAGCATGTAATTGTAGGACATTTTCTAAAATATTTTATTTTTATAAACATCAAACATTTATTTTCATTTCATTCTTTACTTCGAGAGGCTGGTATTGCCATTTACCACTGCATACATCGTGGCACAGAGATGGTCAGGACCCTGCTTACCTTGCCTTGCCTGTAGCTCACACAGTCCACGAGCAGGAGCAATGGCGTTTAAGCAGCTTCTTGAATCCAAATGCTGTGCACTTGCCAAAGCAGTATTTCTACTTCCAGTGTCTGTTTTTCTTTCTTTCTTTCTTTCTTTTGGTGCTAGGCCCATTTGCGTTGACGTTCGGCAGGAATAGGACACATCGTTCTGTCTGAGCAGGAATAGGACACATCGTTCTATCTGAAATGCATAGACAAGTCGCCCATTATTTGAATCTACTCTGCTAAGCAGCATATATGTACCTGCTAGTCATCTCGACTTCGTAGCAAGATGATGGACTAGGGGTCCCGAATCATTATTTTATAGGCCCTTAATAGCTATACACCTTTCTGTACTGCTTAGGTTTGCAAGCTCACTACTTTAAGAGACTTAACAATTCTGACTTCATTTAGAATAAAGATAGAGAGAAGGTACTTGTTAAGGCATTCTCACTTATGGGCTACGTAGAACAGAACTGATACTAAAACTGCTGTTTAATCGAAATCTTAACATGCTTGGAAGTCCATTTTTAGTGTAGAACAGGATTTAAAGAGTCAAACACCCAGCACACGTTGGTATGTTGCTTACTGATAGTGACTGTCTCGATTCCTAGTTATTGCCAGGTCTCCCTCGAACTTCAAATGAAGAGTTTTGGTTCTTGTACCCTCACTTTCTTGACTGCTCCTCTACCCTGAACAATTGGTGACTCAGCCTGTGGATAAGGTCCTGCTTTCCACCTCTGTCACAGAAGAGTTTTTTTCAGAATGTGGGCCCCCCTACATCAAAGTCTTAGATGTTTTTCAGAGCTGCTGATTTCTTTTTTTTTAAAAGAATTATTTATTTAATTTTATTTATTGTTCTTATTATTTTAATTTGACTGGAGAGATAGGGAGAGAGAGGGGGAAAGTGAATGCAAGCTGATGGGTCCGGGACTTGAACCACAGTCAACTATTTGGGAGTCCAGGGCCTTAACTACTATGCCACTTGCTAGCCCCAAGAGCTGCTGATTTCTAGACTCTTCTTCATACCTGCTGAGCCAGTCTGCCCAGACATCTTGCATTTGTCACTGATTCTCCAGCTTGTTGCTCCACTCAGCCTCTGGATGATTCCCAAATTTCCATAAAGAATAGGCACAGAGAGAAATTAGGTAGATCTTGGATTTTTTTTTTCTCTTCCACTTAGAAAGAAATGTCTGTCTCTAACAAGAGGCACTTCCCACTGATACTTGTTTGTGTACAGTGAGTTCCGGTACAACCAGTGGACTCTACAACTTCGCTCTTCTTGTTCTTCTCCTCTAAAGTTTTATAAATGTTTTCAAATCTTTAGGGGAATTGAAAGAATTGTATAGGGAATACCATATACTTACTACCAAGATCCCACAGTGGACATTTTGCTATATTTTCTTGATTATATATCTGTCCATCTGAAACTTCTCCTTTAAAAAAATTTTTTTGGGGGGAGAATTTTGCTATCAGGTGCGTGCACTCAGCAGAGAGACAGAAAGCGAGAAATCACTCACCAGGGAGATGGCCACACTGCAATCCCTTTTCCTCCATTCTTCTCTTGGGATCTTGGGCATGCATGCACATGTGCCTGGCGTGAGTTTAAGCCACTGGGTCCGGGACTCGAACCATACTCCGACCACATGAGAGTCCAGTGACGTAGCCACTACGCCATCTGCTGGTCCCCCCAAAATTATTTTAAATAAGAGAAAAGATGATTTTATCATTATAAATTTTATAGAAATGTCCATGTCAAACTATTTAGATAAACTATCAAAAGAGACCTGCTTTTAAAAAATATTTATTCTTATTTATAGAAGCATTACATATTTATTGTACACAATTTGGAAATACAGAAAAGTAGCAGGGAAAAAAGCATCTGTAATCTCTTCCATCCTAACCCCAAAGCAGTGGTACTAGTAAGCATATTCTGGTGAAAATTTTTCCAGCCTTTTTTTTTTTAAAGAGAGATTTTTTTACTAAAGGGCGCATGTCCTTGCCAGAGAGAAAGTGGGAAATCGCCCCCCAGAGGAGCTAGACATGCTGCACTCCCTTCTTCAATCTCCTCTCGGGATTTTGGGCATGCACGCACACGCGCCTGGCATGAGTTTTAAGCCACAGGGTCCTGGACTCAAACTGCGGTTAACTCTGTGGGAGTCCAGTGACATAACCATTACACCATCTGCTGGTTCCTCTTCCAGCTTTTTTTTTTGGTTGTTGTTAAGAGATAACACATTTTCCAAACAAAATCAGGCTATATTTTGTTGTTCACAGCCTTTTCATATTTCAGGTATCTTGAACTTTTATTATTAAATTTTCTTCATTCTTTTAAGCATGGATATTACTGTCATGTAGTATATTACATTGTATCCTTTATGTGTATATTTGTATTTTTTTCAAAAATTTTTGACATTACTGATAATGTTTTAATGTCTTTGTATATAAATCTTTTTTTTTAAAGAGAGAGATTTTTGCTATAGGACATGTGTACTCGCTGGAGAGACAGACAGAAAGCAAGAAGTCACCCCCCGCCCCAGGGGGTAGCCATGCTGCCATCCCTTCTCCTCCATTCTCCTCTTGGGATTTTGGGCATGCATGTGCCTGGCGTGAGTTTTAAGCCACTAGGTCCAGGACTCAAACCACAGTCGACTCTGTGAGAGTCCAGCAATGTAACCATTACACCATCTGCTGCACATTTCAGATTACTTCCTTGGGATAAAATTGAAGGTCTGGTCTTGATTCTTTGTGGAAAAAAGCCTGTTCTTAAGACTCCTGTTTGTACCTTGTTCATTTGTTTGTTTTGGTCCATACATTTCATGTTCTTTTCTGTCTGCTTTGCCAACAGGTTGGTCAAAGTCACTCTGTATGGATCTCAGATAAAATTGTACAATATTGAAACTGCTGTGCCATCAGTATTGAAACCTGACCTCATTGATGTGTAAGTACAGTGTTTGGTGTTTGTGCAGTCTCAGGAAAGATCTTACGGTTTGACAGAGAATAGGAGTGATTGTCATGAATGGAGGAAAACTCTTAAGCTCCAAATCTAGAAAGAGAGAAAGATTGATTGTATGTCTGGGGGCAGGGGTGGTTGGAGTAAGTGGAATTCATTAGGCAGATGGAAGTTAGGGCAGAGGCTATAGGGATAGGCATTGCAGGACAGTGAGATGAGGCCGAGTAGATAGGTGGGGACGAACATGGAAACATCTTGAGTGCCCGAATCTTACCTTGTAGACATTGACTGAAAATGTAGGGTACGGAAGAATATCTGAGCAACATTATTCCTTTAGAGTTTCCAGTTTTCCCAGGATAAGGCTCAGGTATTTGCATATTGAACATGAATCTCAGGTTATTTTGAAGAAGGACATCAAACCTCCATAATATGGAAAAGCATTAGGAAGGTGACATATAGAAGGGAGGGAGAGGTGAGGACTAGAGATGGAGCCATAGTTTACACTGCCCAGAAGGAACGCTTACTCTAGACTAGAGCAGGGATTAGCAAACTATATCCTGTGTCAAATCTAGTCTACTATTTGCATTTGTAAATAAAGTTTTATTGAAACACAACCCATTAATTTACATGTCATCTGTGGCTGCTTTTGCACTATAGCAGCAGAGTTGGGTAGTTGTGACAGAATGTAGGGCCTACAAAACCTAAAATACTACTTGCATTCTGGTTTTTACAAAGCATGCTGACTCCTTTTCAAGAGTGTTCTTTTTTTTTTTAAGTTTATTTTTTTATTTTGTCTGTCAGAGAGAGAGAGACTTTACACTGCAATCCATAGTCTCAGCCAGCCCACATCATGGGCACATGCACCTGGAATGCTTAGGGATGTCCTAGCTTATGAACCCAGTATCTTTCCCATGTGGGGCCAGTCGCATTGCTACAACACCGTCGCCTGGCCCCTTGAAAGTATTCTTGAGCTGCAAATTAGATAAATAATAGAAGAGGAAATCTTATTTTTACTATGGTGGTTTTAATTTTATTTTTTTAGAGAGATTTTGCTATAGGTCATGTTCACTCGTTGGGAATACAGTGACAGAAAGCGAGAAATCACTCCCCAGGGGATGGCCACATCACAGTTCCTTCACCCCCGGTTTCCTTTTGGGATTTTGGGCATGCACATATATGCGCCTGGCTTGAGTTTAAAGCCGCTGGGTCTGAGACTCAAACCATGATTGACCATGTGGGAGTCCAGTGACGTAACCACTATGCCATTTGTTGGTCCCTGAACTTTATTTTTTAATTTTGTTTCTTCATTGAGAATTTAGAGGAAGCTGTGAAGCTTCTCCTGAGAAAGATGCTAGTTTTCTCATAAACACAACAAAGTGTACACAAATGCAGGAAGTTTTAGAGCTCCCTCTTTTACCATTGAAGAGCTCTATAAATTGCTGGATTGTCTAAAATTCAGACACTAAAGGCTGACTTTGATGTTTTCTCCCTTGGTTTTGGTACTTCAAACTGTAGTAAAGTGAAGATGATCAGTGGATTCTAAATATAAAATGCAGCTGGTCACCATGAATTTCAGGCTCCCATCTGTATTTATTTTCTTGAAGGTACTGAGTAACTTCTCTTACCCAGCTTGTTATTTTGAGAAAGTTCAAACCTATAGCAAATGGAAAAAAATGGAAGAATAAGCACCCCTATAGCCTTAGCCTGGAGTAATCAATTTGCTTTTGTTTCTTGTTCTTGTACTTTCTCTGTTTCTAACATTCACAGTTTTTTTTTTCTTTTTTCTTTTTTTTTTTTTTGAGAGGGGCTGTAGGGCGTATATGCTCTCTGAAGAGACAGAGGGAAAGTGAGAAATCACATCCCGGAGGGGATGACCATGCCGCATTACTTTCTCATTCTCCTCTTGGGATTCCAGGCACTCATACACACACACAGTGTATTTTTCAAGCTGCTGCATCCGGGACTTGAGTTGTATGCACAGTTGGCCCTGTGGGACCCAGTACCTTAACCACCACACCGCAGACTGGCCCACATTCATAAATTTTTTGGCAGAACCATTTTGAGAATAAATTGCAGACATGTCACTTCATCCATAAATCATTTAGTATGTATCTCCTAGGAAGTAAGTTCCCTCTCCTACATAAATCATTATTGTCAACACTCAAAACAATTTAATGGGTACAGTAACATCATCTCTTATACTGGGTTTTCCAGAAAGTCATTTCTATGCATTTTTGTGTAGAAAAACATGCCACGACTTTTGCGATGATGCAGTATTTATTTATTATTTATTTATTTTTTTGCAGTATTTATTTTTAATTGCTAGAGGGCATGTGCTCACCAGAAAGAGGAAGAGGGGGAAAGTAACCCCACACACATACACACACTGGGGTATGGTCATGGTGCAACCCCTTCTCCATTTCTCCGTCTTCATATCAGGAGATATTTAATGTCAGTTGCCCTATAATTGATGCTAAATTTGACTTGAAGGTGGTGTCTGCCTGTGTCCTAGTTCTGTCCACTGAAGGGTCTTGGGAGCAGCAGCCCTCCAGTAGCAGGGCTATTTCCTGTACTTGGGTCTTATTTTCTAAAATACATTCTCCACTGAAAGGAGCCAGAACTCATTGGACAAATGCTCTCAGTCTGGAGTAGGTAATCCTGGAAGGTCGCAAGTCAGAAAGAAAGTGCAATCCATACATCATAGCGATTTTTTCTTTTTTTCAAGATGAGGTATGGGAAAGCTCTTTTTGCAGAAGAATGCCAGCTAAGGAGAAGAAAAGGATGGTAGAAAAATTACCAGTTTACAATTTAAGAGTGACATAGGCAGGGATCCTTAGTTGGTGCCAAAACTGTATGTATTTATATTATCTCAAAGAATCACCGCACAGATTACTTGTCACAGAAGGGAAGAAAATGACGTGGATGTTCCTGAGAAGTGCTGCAATTTTGCTATTTGAAAATTCTGAGACAGTTGACTCTCTTTAAGATTTTTAGTGTTCATTATCTCTGATGAATTGTGAGCTTCTTTGATGTATGTTTCATTGCATGTGATGCAGTACAACCTTTCAGGAGCTGAACACAGTCTTTGCTGTTATCCTCTAGTCAGGTACAGAGGACAGTGTCATGGAGGCTTAAACTTGAGAGTCTTATGTCACAGCTTTACTCACAAAGCTTTAATACCTGGTAGTTTGTCTGTACCTTGGCATATAGCTGTTGATCTTAAAGTGTCTCTAGTTCTAAAGTCAAGATGTTATCACTACTTTTTATTTATTTATTTGTTTGTTTGTTTGTTTTGGAGAGGTTTTTGCTATGGGGTGTGTGCACTCACCAGAGAGACAGAGAGAGACAGAGAAACAGAAAGCAAGAAATCACCCCCCAGGGGGGATGGCCACACCGCAATCCCTTCTCCTCCATTCTCATCTCTGATCTTGGGCACGCACCCACATGCGCCCAGTGTGAGTTTAAGCCACTGGGTCTGGGACTTGAACTGCAGTCGACTACATGGGAGTCTAGCCATTACTGATAGCCACCTGCTGGTCCCTATCATTATTTTTTAAAAATGTGTTTATTTCTTCCATGAGAGGGAGGGAGGGAGGAAGGCATCCCCAGCAAAGCCCTCATGCAGTGATCCACCGCAGTCTCAGCTGCCCAGGATCACGGGTCCACACTCACACTTGGCATGCACAGGACTTTAGGACCCAACCCAGGACCTTCCCATATGGCTTCAGCATCGCAGAGCACTTGTTATTGCTGTGCCACTGTGGCTGACCTTACTTGAGTTCTTTGGTTCTCTTCTTTGAATCTGTGTAACAAAAATTGAATGCAGTCTGACAGACATGTACTGATATCCACATTCTGTGTTCTAGGCAGTGGTAGCAATATTTAGATGACGAGAGTAGTAGTTCTTAAGCCCTGTGAGCAAGTAAATGCTTTCCATGGTGTCACCTATGTCCTGGAGCATGGTGGTTGGCATTTTTAAATCCTGTGGAAACAGGTTCGATGCTAACACTGTTCATTTTCACCATAACCTTTAAAATCACGCCTCTTTTCCTTTGGCAGGCATGCTCAGTCCCTGGCGGCTCTGCAGGCTTACTCTCACTGGCTGGCGCAGTACTGCAGTGAAGCGCACCGGCAGAACACACAGCAGTTTGTGACGCTCATCTCTACTGCCATGGATGCGATTACACCTCTCATCAGCACCAAGGTCTCGGAACAGCAAAGGCTGCACCTTTTACCTCGCTCTGTGCCTGTCCCCTACCGATAGCTGGACGCTCGCACAGAGTTAGAGCTGTAGCTCTTAGCTGTCTGTGCGACAGCATGTGTTCCTTAGTAGTAGTTGTCCCACATACATTCAAGTAAAGCTTTGTTTCATTTTTCTGTCTCACATGAGTACAAGCTCATTATGAAAAGTAAAATAGTGTTCACATTTATAGACTAAAAAGCTATGGAACTCCTTAATCCCTTCCTCCAAAACATTTTTCCTTCCCAAGGTGAGCATGTCAGCAATTGACTGTATATCCTTCTAGGCCTTTTCTGTGTTCTTACGAACATAAACAAGAATGTATAGATGATTAGAGATACAGCTGCTTTTGCCTCACAGTACGCTTTGGTTTCCTTCATATATGTGGAACAGCTCCATGTTTTCAAGTTGCCCAGTGCTGTTCTCTTGTAGGGCTATATGAAACTTTTACTATTGAGGGATATACGTATATCTGTCTTTAAACATATATGCTGGTAGGCCTGAGGACAGCTTCCTGGAAGTGGAATTTACTGAGTCGAAAATTATATCCATGTAAAATTGAATGTCCAAGAAGACTGTAAAAGTAGAACACATAGGTTCTTTTCTCTTTATAGTTTGAATCTCACATAACAACTTGTCCCACCTTTTTTTTTTTTTTGGTATGTCAGGAGGCACATGCACTCACAGCATACACACACACGGAGAAAGCACTCCCTGGTGGGGCACAGTCATGCTGCAACCTCGTCTTCGTATCTCCTTTCTATCAGGGATCAGGGCATGCATACACGCACCCAGCATGTTTTTCAAGTTGCCAGGGCCAGAATTTGAACCACAGTTGGCCACATGGGATCCAGCTCCTTTAACTACCAGGCTGTGGCACCAGCCCAGTGATACTTCTTTTCTAAATAATTCTATAAACCCTGATTCTTTGATGAACTCTTTTCATGTAGTCTTACAGCTTTGGGTCTGAGCCATGAAACGTTTTCTGTTCTGCTAATTTAAAAATGACAGTGTTTCTTGAACCCCCAATTTTTTATTTTTTAAGTTTTTTTTAAGCTTTTTTTTTTTTGCCATGTGTGGCATGTGTGGTCACCAGAGAGAGAGAGAGACGGAGAAAGGGAAAGTGAGGACTCATCTCCTGGAGGGGATGGTCATGCTACAATCCCCTTTCCATTCTCCTCTCTTTTTTTTAAATTAGGTTTTGCCATAGTATGTGCGTGTTCACAGGAAAGAGACAGTGAGAGGGAAAGTGAGAAATCACCCCCTAGGGTGGATGGCCATGCTATAATCCCCTTTCCTTCTGGGATTTTGGGCTTGCACACATACATGTTCAGCGTGATTTTCAAGCTGCCATGTCTGGGACTTGAACCATAGTTGGCCACGTGGGAGTCCAGTGCTGTAACTATTATGCCACCTGCTGGCTCTTTCCTCTTGGGTTCTTGGGGCACACATGCATATGTGCCTGGCGTGATTCTCGAGCCACCAGGTCCAAGACTCGAACCATGATCAGCCATGTGGGAGTCCAGGGCCTTAACCACTATGCCACCTGGTGGCCCTGAATGAAAATTTTTTTAAGTTTTATTATTTCTAAGTAAGGAGACTGAGATACAGCACCTGTAATAGGGTTGTGACACTGCCATCCCATTAGCAGTCCTGGATCATAGGCACACATGTGCCTGACATACTCGGGGAGTCTTTGGCTGCAAACCTTCCCATGCCTTCCCATGTAGGTTTGCCTTGCAGAGCATCATGTTTAACCACTGTGTCCCCATCTGGCCCTCTGCATTGTTTTTGTTTGCTTGTTTTTAAAAATTTTTGCAGTAGTGCATGTGTGCTTGCCAGAGAGACAGAAAGAAAGAGGGAAAGCGATAAATTACCCCCTGAGGGGATGGCCACACTGCAGTCCCTTCTCCTCAGTCTCCTCTCTGGATTATGGACACACACTCAGCATGATTTTTAAGCCATCGGGTCTGGAACTCAAATCATATAACTGGCCATCTCAGATCCATTACCTTAACCTCCACTACATGTGCTGACCCTGAATTAAATTTTTGATAGACATGTTGAGGTGAAAAAATAGGACAGATTGGCATGATTGATAAAGTACAGAATGTGGGGGTTAGAGAGATCTTTGCATAGTTTGAATAAGAGGAATGTGATGAAGACTCTTTGGATTTTATGCCAAGGAGTTTGCCATGTGATTTAACAACTGATTGGGAGCTACTATAGATGCCAATGTTAATGGAAGAGGGATTAGAAGAGGTGTTATTGGCTTGAGGCAGGAACTCCAGGCCTACCAAAGAATATGAATCCCTTGTTGCTGAGTGTCATCATTAGAGAAATTTGTGAGGTACATCCTAGCCACCTAGGCCATCAAGAACCATTTTTAGGAGCCAGCCCTATGGCATAGTGGTTAAGTATTGTGCAGAGGAAGCTGGATCCCACATGAACAACCAGAGTTTGTTTGAGTCCTACCCTAGTGAGTGTCTTGAGAAACATTTGGCTGTGCTGTGCCTGTGGGCCCAGGATCCTGACAGGTTAGAGAATTGGAGGAAAGAGGATTGAAGAGTATGTGCATTTGTATGTAGAGTGTTCATTGTGTGAATGTACATTTAAAGAAAATTATTTTTAGCTTGTGGCTACCTCAGCAAAGCTCTTGTAACACCAGTCATACAGTAACCAGGTATGTCCTCCTTCCTCTCCAGGTCCAAGACAAGTTGCTGCTATCTGCATGCCACTTACTGGTCTCCCTGGCCACCACTGTGCGGCCTGTCTTTTTGATCAGCATCCCTGCAGTGCAGAAAGTTTTCAACAGAATCACCGATGCCTCTGCTCAGAGACTTGTTGATAAGGTGAGCCAGAGTTAACAGAGCTCAGACCTGAGAAAGCTGAGGGAGAAGAGTCTGGCCTTTGTTTTTACACCCTTTTTGCACCCAGAGTCCACAGGCCATGGCAATATAGATGACTTTTTTAGGTGTGTGATACTGACACAACCTCGGTGACTTGTCATGTCGTATTTGATGACTTTAATGTGAGGGAGCTCCTCCCGATGTGCAGCGAGGTTTCGCTGCTTTGAAGATTGGGAGTTTGGCCAGTATTACAAGAATCCCTTGGCATTCTTTGTGGTTCACAACAGTCTGGTTTTTGTTGTTGTTGTTACATGTTTGTTTTTTTTAGAATTGAGAAGCTCCAGGCAGGTGCTTTGAAAGGATGAGATTTAAAGCATGAGATTTTCCTTCCATAAACCAAAAATTACAAATCCTCCCAGGGGGCTTAAGCTAGAAGTTTAAAAACAAACAGCAAGAGGGTGGCACAGGAGGGGGTTGAAGCAGATACTTCAGAGCACCAGGATGTGGATGCATGACTTCTGACATGGCATATGGATTGGAAGCTAGCCGCCTGACAGCCCTGGTCTAGGTAGCTTTTCAGAGGCTGTCAGACAGCAGCAGCTGAGGGATACATTAGTGTTAGTGTCCGCCATCCACAGCATGACTCCCTCTCTAATGCTTCAAGCACCAGATTAGACTGGTAGTGAGAACACCAGAAATGGTTTCTGAGCCTGGACCTAGGTTCTATGAGACCCAGACTTTGGTGGTATTACTTCACTTCTGGTTCTCCCTGGTTGCCTTAGAGTTGGACCACGGCCTTGCCCAGGTTATAAGAAAGCTTGAGGGCCTGAGCCCAACACGTGGAGTGGGTACTGAGAATGAGTCAGGCACTTGCAGCTCTGCTGTCTGCTGTTCTTTGACGTCTCTCGGATGCCTCTGGGGTCTCTTCTTTTTCAACAGAATCACCGATGCCTCTGCTCAGCGACTTGTTGATAAGGCTCAGGTGTTGGTGTGCCGAGCCCTCTCTAACATCTTGCTGCTTCCATGGCCAAACCTTCCTGAGAATGAGCAGCAGTGGCCTGTGCGCTCCATCAACCATGCCAGTCTCATCTCTGCACTCTCCCGGGACTATCGCAACCTGAAGCCCAATGCCGTCACCCCACAGAGAAAGATGCCATTGGATGACAGTAAGTGACCCTAGTCAGGGACAACCCAAAGAGATAGATGAGTCAGGCATATATTGGTCCTCTGTGGAGATGAGACTTGTACTGGAGTCTCATGAGGTGACTGTCCAAGGTCATGCAGCTTGATAACCACACAAGTCAGATTCCAGTGGCAGAAGAATGCTGGAGAACTAAGAAAAGTGTCTATGGAAGACACGATTGTTGGTGCGTTCTATTGATGAAATAAATCTTATGGTGATTATTGATTGATTTCACATACCTGTATAAGCAGACAAAGCAGTTCACCCCTACACACTGGGAAAATTAATTTAAGAGGTTGGTTTTAAACATTTTCCAAATATAGTTATTTCAGAGGTTTTGAAATAGCTTGGCATCAACTTAGGATAGTATAAAGAAGGAAAAAGAAATTCCTCAATCTCACTAATGTTAATATTTTAGAAGGGTTTGGAAGCTAGCCGCCTGACAGCCCTGGTCTAGGTAGCTTTTCAGAGGCTGTCAGACAGCAGCAGCTGAGGGATACATTAGTGTTAGTGTCCGCCATCCACAGCATGACTCCCTCTCTAATGCTTCAAGCACCAGATTAGACTGGTAGTGAGAACACCAGAAATGGTTTCTGAGCCTGGACCTAGGTTCTATGAGACCCAGACTTTGGTGGTATTACTTCACTTCTGGTTCTCCCTGGTTGCCTTAGAGTTGGACCACGGCCTTGCCCAGGTTATAAGAAAGCTTGAGGGCCTGAGCCCAACACGTGGAGTGGGTACTGAGAATGAGTCAGGCACTTGCAGCTCTGCTGTCTGCTGTTCTTTGACGTCTCTCGGATGCCTCTGGGGTCTCTTCTAGGCTCAGGTGTTGGTGTGCCGAGCCCTCTCTAACATCTTGCTGCTTCCATGGCCAAACCTTCCTGAGAATGAGCAGCAGTGGCCTGTGCGCTCCATCAACCATGCCAGTCTCATCTCTGCACTCTCCCGGGACTATCGCAACCTGAAGCCCAATGCCGTCACCCCACAGAGAAAGATGCCATTGGATGACAGTAAGTGACCCTAGTCAGGGACAACCCAAAGAGATAGATGAGTCAGGCATATATTGGTCCTCTGTGGAGATGAGACTTGTACTGGAGTCTCATGAGGTGACTGTCCAAGGTCATGCAGCTTGATAACCACACAAGTCAGATTCCAGTGGCAGAAGAATGCTGGAGAACTAAGAAAAGTGTCTATGGAAGACACGATTGTTGGTGCGTTCTATTGATGAAATAAATCTTATGGTGATTATTGATTGATTTCACATACCTGTATAAGCAGACAAAGCAGTTCACCCCTACACACTGGGAAAATTAATTTAAGAGGTTGGTTTTAAACATTTTCCAAATATAGTTATTTCAGAGGTTTTGAAATAGCTTGGCATCAACTTAGGATAGTATAAAGAAGGAAAAAGAAATTCCTCAATCTCACTAATGTTAATATTTTAGAAAGTAACTATTGGAATCATGCTTCTGTTATTGTCTGTCTTTTCTGTTTCTAAATGCTTTGTACTTACATAGTTGGTTAAGACTGGCTGACCTGTTGAGGGAATACTGTGTACTAGACTCATGCCTTGGCCATTTTATGTCTGTTGTCAAATCTCTGGCTATGTCAGCATCAACCTTCAAAGGCTGGTAAATGATGCTGGTTTTAAGTATTTTTCTAAAATTTAGTAAGTCATTTAATTTTCACATCAGCCTTTGTGAGTTACATTCTGTTCATTATTCTGATTCTATCCACAGGAAGCTAAGTTATAGGAAGGTTAGGTAACTTGCTCAGGGTGTTCCATACAGCTGTTGTTGACTCATGTTTTGTGAAGTATAATGTTGTCTTTTCTCACTTTAATGTAAGAAGGAATGATTTCTTGTTTATTCTGCATGTCTAGCTCAGGTCAAGAGGGGGAGGGAAGTCTCTTAAGGACCCAGGCTGACGAAGGCTCCATTACATTATCTGCTTCCACTGCAAGGGAACTTGGTGTTCTTAAAGGTCCTGACTAAAAGTGATACTTACCAGGCCCACTCACGTTTCACTTGCTAGAGCAAGCTGCGTGGCCATGGCTTAGCTTCAGAGCGGTGGAAGTGTGTATTACTGTGTTTTGGAAATATTTGCTGCATAACATCAATGATTTCCTCAGAGGGAGTGTTTACTGCCTGCCAGGCTCTGGGTTAAGAACTTTGCATATGTTATTTCATTTAGTTTTCTCTGTATATGCCTGTGAAGTATATCTTAGATATTACCTTCATTCCGTAGCAATAAAATGATGGTTTGGGAGATTTTCTTTTTCCTGTCTCAGTTTTATGCTTTGAAAAAACTTTAAACCCATCGAATAGTTGAAAGAATAAGAAAGTGCTTTTCCCCTAGTATGCTATTTTCATTTATTTGTTCTTTTTTTTTTTTTTTTTTGAGAGGTTTTTGTTATAGGGCGTGTACACTCTCCAGAAAGACAGAGAGAGAGAGATAGAAAGCGAGAAATCACCCCCCAGGGGGGATGGCCACACCGCAATCCCTTCTCCTCCATTCTCTCGGGATCTTGGGCATGCATGCACACAAGCCCAGTGTGAGTTTAAGCCACCAGGTCTAGGACTTGAACCGCAGGCGACTACATGGGAGTCCAGTGACATAGCCATTATGCCAACTGCTGATCCTGTTATTTTTATTTTTAATTGAGCCACTTAAAGTAAGTTTCAGTCATTGATTGACACTTAATTCCTGAATATTTAACCTTTCTGTCTGTATAGAATAAGATAGTCTCTTATTCTCTTGATCATAATCAAAACAACCATTAACACAACCAGGATGTTGAATATCATTACAACAATGTCATTTAGCATACAGATCTCATTAAAATTTTCCCCAGTTGTTACCAAAATGTCCTTTTCTGCCTTTTAAGAATCTAAGATATGATCAAGAATCATGTGTTATATTTGGTTGTCATATCTCTTTGGTCTCTTTTAATTTAGAAGAGTACCCCATTTTTGTCTGTCTTTTTTTGGGGGGGAGAGGTTTTTGCTGTAGGGCGCGTGAGCTCGCCAGAAAGACAGAGAGAGATGGGGGGGGGTGATGGCCACGCCTCAGTCCATTCTCCTCTCCGGATCCTGGGCACGTACGCACACGCGCCTGGCGTGAGTTTAAGCCACTGGGTCTGGGACTCAAACTGTGGTCGACCACATGAGAGTTCAGCAATGTAGCCATTACACCAACTGCTGGTCCTTATTTTTGTCTTTCTTGACACTGGCATTTTTGGAGAGTCCAGGGCTATTTACTTATAGACTTTCCCATAATTTAATTTTGTCTGATTATCTCCAGCAGTTTTTGGTATAATGATATGTACTTCCTATTGCGCTGTGACTATTAGTCCCATTGCAGTGATGCTCAGATTTCTGGCGCTGTCTGCTAGTCTGTTGATTGGAAAGGTGCCTTTCCCCTCAAGGTCTGCATGGTGCCAGTTGCTCTGGGTCACAGGGACAGCGGTGGGGTCAGGAGTCAGGCTTAGGTCTGAATGGCTCTAGGCCTGGTGCTCTACACCACTGTACCACAAAGCAGGGATTTTAGTGGTTTTGTAATACCCTGTCCTATGGACGTACCACTGTTGACTTAACTACTGTTACATATATCCTACTATTAGGTACATCTATAGTGCTTTTGGTTTTTTTGCTTATGTGTTTTTATGAATAAATCTTGGTCCTTATTTTAGTTCCTTAAATGTTGAAAGTCAGATACTGGTCTCTTGACTGTTGGTTTTTCCCATTAAGCTGCTCCCCTGTGCCTTGTGTTTTCTTGGGATTATGTCTGCCTGTCCCCAGTGTGGTTTCCTGGCTTGGTCCGATGCTTGTAGTGGTTGTAAGTGGTTCCTCCATCAGTAGTGTGTGCGTGCCTTTCATTCATTTTCCACCATCACTGTGACCCGCATCAGTTGACCATGCCTGTCGTGAGCCATTGTCTGTTTTCATTTCTGTGTGTGGGGTGATGTTATCTAGCCACATTTTTAGATAAAAGACACCATTGGGACCAGCAGTTAGCGTAATGGCTATGTCGCTGGACTCCCATGTAGTCAACCATGGTTCATGTCCTGGACCTGGTGGCTTAAACTCATGCCGGGCACGTGTGCGAGCATGCCCAAGATCCCAAGAGGAGAATGGAGGAGAAGGGATTGTGGCGTGGCCATTCCCCCTGGGGGGTGATTTCTCGATTTCTGTCTTTCTGTCTGTCTGTATCTGTCAGGTGAGTGCACGCGCCCTATAGCAAAAACCTCTAAAAAAGACACCATGACTCAGAATCCAGCAGAGCTAAGGGCCAGGCTGGATTCTTTCTATCTACTAAGCACATCTGTTTTGCCCTTCCCTGGAAGATGCTTCAGCACCACAGAGGCTGGTGCTCTGGGTTCAGGGTGATCCAGAGAGTGCTAACAGGTGGCAAGCAGCTCTCTGAGCCCATCTCTAGTTAGGCTCCTGGAGGTTGCCTGGAGTGAATCTGTGAGGCTCAGACTGAGCCTGGGGTTCTTCTTGGGGAGGCTGCTGAGGAGCTCCAATCACAGGGGAAGGATGACTTCACTCATTCTGGGAATGAGGACAGCTTCCTTGACCTGGACCTTCTCACATGCCAGGTTTGTTGCTAGAATTATTCTAAACCTGTTTCTGATCCTTACACCAATCTTGCAAAGGTGAGGTTGTTGGCTGTCTCCTGTGTACTCACCTGGATCCTGCCATGTTGTGACCATCTGTGGTTCATATTTAAGATCCTCTAACTTCCTGTCTGCTCGCTGGCCACTGCTTCTGTTGTCTCCATGTGCTCTGTGGAATCATAAAGAGAACTTGTTTTTTATTTAGAGATTTTTAATATGGGGCACGTGTGCTCACTAGAGGTTAAGAGACAGAAAGCAAGAAATCACCCCCAGGGGGTATGGCCATGCCATAATACCTTCTCCATTCTCCTCTCAGGATCTTGGGCATACACGCCCGTTGTGAGTTTTAAGGCACTGGGCCTAGAACTTGAACCATGGTCAACTATGTGGGAGTCCAGTGGTGTAAACCATTATGCCAACTGCTGTCTCCCATAAAGAGGACTCTTATATCAGGGTATTGTTAGAATTATGTATTGTCGATAACATAAAATGAATTCTAATAACAGTAAGGATAGCTGTTATCAGGCTACAGGCCAGATCAGCCAGGCAGTTTATTCCTGAACTAAGCACCTTTACCTGTGCATGGTAGGGGTTTTGTGGATTACGGCCTGGAAGAGTGCCCGTAGGTGAAGGAGAAAGCTTGAGCTACATTTGTCTGTTCTGGCCTGTGCTGATTACCTTGTGACACTTTGTCACCTGTCAGCTCATCATAGAGTGCTCATTGAGTCCAAGGCACTTAACCTGGAGGTGCATTTATCTCTTCTTGGTGGGTGTGTTGCTGGTGGGTAGAGGCAAAATAGAGGCAAAAACCTGAACAAGAGGTCAGGCAACTGGAGTCCTAGCAGTAATGCAAATAAACATGAAGAGACAGGGATACAGAGAAAGGCCTAACAGAATCTAGAGAGATGAGTTCCTTTAGCAAGATTGCTGTGTGATTGTTTTCCTGACTCCTTTGCAGATTTATTCCCTTTCTCTTGTGTTCCCTCTTCCTGTGCTTTATTTATCTTCAGACAAGTCATAACCTGGAACTTAATCTTGATTTGCAGCCAAAGTGATTATCCACCAGACACTTAGTGTCTTAGAAGATATCGTGGAGAATATCTCTGGGGAATCTACCAAGTCCCGACAGATCTGTTACCAGTCGCTGCAGGAATCTGTTCAGGTCTCCCTGGCCCTCTTTCCAGCTTTCATCCATCAGTCAGGTAGGAGCTGGCCCAGAGTATCTGCTGAGCTCTGTAGAGCACACTCAGTCAGCATGTGCTGGCCTTGACTTGGCAGGGAAGGGACACCTGAGGTTAAGGCTAAGGGCAATGTTTGGGGTGGCTGGGGCTGAGGCATCATGGGAAAGAAAGCAGAGCCCTCAGTTTGAGCCTCGTCCCTGTGTCATGTGACATTGAGTCATCTTAGGCTTTTTGCCTAGTTTTTTGTTTTGTTTTGTTTTTTTAAATCTTTGCCTTCTCCCAGTGTGGAACATGAGTGTGTGAGAGAGCAATGGGGGCATTATACCAGAGAGGCAAGAGAACTTTTTCAGATTAGTGCCACTTCTTTACTTAGGTGGCCAGGTGAGTTTTGTAGATTGTGTCTCTCCCTCCACTCTGTCACTGTCACCATTGGAGGCTCTCCTAACTCTGTGGATGTCTTTGGGCAGCTCTTCTGAGAGCAGTTACAGAAGTCTTGTCTTATGGGAGAAACATCAAGGGCATCTCAGGCAGCAGATATTCCCTGGTTGCCTCTTGGAAGCAGATCGTGTGTGGTTAGAGCCCAACGTGTGGTGCACAGGATGATGGTTGAGATCTAGAAGTGAAACCACACTAAAGTAACCAGTATTTTCTGCAGTTAATTCACTTAATTGACCAGGGCTGTGCAACCCAAAATGTACTCTCATTACCCACTTTTAGCCACTTAACCCCTGACCCTATTGCAGGGATTATTGCTCACAGAGAGAAATGACTAAAGCATCCAAGTGTTGACCTGATTGAATAGTTTCAGCAGTGTGAGCACAAAATGATCTCTGCAGTGATACCTCTGATTATTGCTGGATACTGGGTAGTGAGGGAGGCTTGGAGATGACTTTCATTTCCTGTCGTGAGCCATTAGACAGAGGTTCCTTGTACCAGAGCTGTTTTCTCAGCATGTCCTTAATCATTTTCCACTTTCTATCATTGGCTCTGAAAGTGTTGGGGAAATTTCTTCCAGCAGGAAGTCTCAAAGGGATGTGATAGTTCAGATTGTAAAAGAAGTTGATCAAGCCAGGGGCTTCCATTCATCCCTGCATGCATGCATTTGACCATTGGTTTTGTCCCTTTATTTAGATGTGACTGATGAGATGCTGAGCTTCTTCCTTACTCTGTTTCGAGGCCTTAGAGTACAGATGGGTGTGCCTTTCACTGAACAGATCATACAGACGTTCCTCAATATGTTTACCAGGTAACCATTTACGTGCAGCCCGAGGCTTGCACGTGTGTCTGGCTATAGAGCACGGGGCTTTTTGCTCCTGTCTTTACTTGCTGGAAGTGTTGGTTTTCGTGTCGGTCTCTGAGACGCATATCTTCGGTTATTATATGGCTGTTTTCCTTCCTCTCATAGAGAACAGTTGGCCGAGAGCATCCTCCATGAAGGCAGCACTGGTTGCCGAGTGGTGGAGAAGTTCCTGAAAATCCTACAGGTGGTAGTCCAGGAGCCTGGGCAGGTGTTCAAACCTTTCCTCCCCAGCATCATCGCCTTGTGCATGGAGCAGGTGTACCCCATCATTGCTGAGGTAGGAGGGGCTCCAGTAGTCCTTACTCTTTCCATCTGGGGAGAGAGGAGAGAAGGAAATACCAAGGGAAATGCTTTGTGTTTTTAAGTTCATTGTTAGTTATTTTAATATTCTTTTAAAATAATTTTTTTCAAGATAGAATGCCTTTAGGTTAGTGTAGTCTTTATATTTTATATTGGCCAAGTTAATTAGAACTAGTCTAGTATAAACATAACAGAGTAACATTCCTCACAGAGTAGGTTGGTAAGTAAGAGCAGTGTCCTATGGCAACCAGTTTATTACTTCAAGTGAATGTCTGGCTTTCTACAGCAGACGTTATAGCAATGTACTTTCCTATTAAAATAATTCATGGTCTCAAAGATATAAGGCACGTTCACAGAACTATTTAAACAAACCTTTCTGTGTTACAGGAAAGCTCTTTGTCGTTCTTAGAAAACAGGCACTCAGCATGACAAGATTCAGAGTAGGTCATAGATTTAACTTATATTTTATGGTATTAAGGCTGAAACCTATCCAGTGCTTTGTATCATGAAATACACTTGAGTCAAATCCCACCTGGATGACTGCAGTTCAAATCCTGGTCCAGGTAGCTTGAAAAGAGCCAGGCAGCTGTGTGTATGTCTCAAATCCCAACAGGGTGGAGAAATGGGAGGAGAAGGGATTGCAGCGTGACCACACTGCATTGGGGTGGCAGGTGGGGCATGCACATATGCTCTTTAGCAACTATAAAACAATAAAATAAAAATTTATGTCACAAAAGCTTGTGACTGGTGGCAATTCAGTTTTAATCGAAGCTGGATTAAATATAGCTGAATTTATATATATATATTTTTTTTTTGAGAGGGTTTTGCTATAGGGCACGTGCGCTCACCAGAAAGACAGAGACAGAAAGACAGAAAGTGAGAAATCACCCCTCAGGGGGGGTGGCCACGCCGCATTTCCTTCTCCTCCATTCTCCTCTCGAGATCTCGAGTATGCACACACCGGCACCCCGCACGGCGTTATATCCAG